TCATCACCGTATGGAACATATAGTGGTGAGGTTAAACTGAATAATGGAAAAGTAGAAGGCTTCCATGAATTTTGACTAAATGTAATTGGAATTGGATTACGAATTAAAAAAATTAACAATAAAGATATCATTCTTCGTTCAACAAGTGGAACATTGAATGATTAAGCGTACTAAAATTTGATAAATAGAAAATTCAGAATACTCTAACAGTTGTACATGAATTTCTGTACTTTTACATCTAGCTTTTTCTCCTCTAATTAAATAAGTTACAAGATGTCGAAAACATTTAATCTCATACGAATATCATTGACAATGATAAAAACATAGAGAACAGAACTGAGTACGCTGAATGAATGAAATGTAGGAAAAAATTTGAAACAATTGTGAAGAAGAAAAAACAATAAATAAAGCACGTACAATAAGATGAGACGAGAGAGATAGATGTCAAAAAATACAGAAAAACAACAAGTACTGATCGAGTAGTGGACACTTTCTCATGTTTTTTTTAGTTACAAACTCTTTATTTTGTGAAAAATAACAACAATAGTGAAGAAAAACAGAACGAGAAAGCTACCCTCAACAAAAAAGAATACACATTTAATAACTGATCCCATTTGTATAATATTGATAATTGTCATACATTTTTGTAGTCAATGAATTCAAACTACTTTCAACCATATTTTCAACATACATTTGTAACTGTTCATCGGTCATATTCAAATGAAATCGTTCGCGTAATCTCAATGTTACATTGCCCTTAGAAAAACAATTCAGTTGAGAACCTAAAAAACAAACAAGAAACCAATTAGGCAAACATCAACAATCATCGGTGCAGTGTGCTATGTCAGTACATCGAACTGCTGTAATTAACTTTTCCTATTGATCACATAACTTTGATCGTTTTTTCCTAGCATGCTCCATTTATGCTAAGATCTATTTTATCTAAAAAAGTGAGTTTCAGAAATAAATGATTACCATGCTGCAGGATTTCGACAATTGGCATTAATTGATCCATATGTTTTCTAGCTGCTAATAGTCCTTGTAAAATTAGAATTTTATAATATTCAAACATATCGCTCTGTAATCCACCCATTACCTAATGTTCAATCAAACACAAAAACAGTTTAATTAATCGTTAAATATATAAGTCATGAACTTACATCAACAAATTCTCTCGTGACTTTGAATGGTGAACTTTCAAAGCCCAAATTTTTTGGCGTTGCCGATAACATAAACCCAAAATCTATGAAAACAAAAAAATAAATAATACTTACAGATTACAACGAAATAATTTCTGTCAAACATACCGATATGAATTACATGTCCTTCGTCGCCTAACAGAATATTTCCATTATGTCTGCAAAGAAACGATGAAATAATAAGTATTTATAATTTATAGTCATTAAGAGTATCCTTCACTCATTTTTCATCCTGCTGTAAATCGTAGAGAGGTAAACCTTTCACCAGAGTTTGTTCTCAAAAAAATAAAATAGGCACATTTTTTACTCGGACTATTGCAGAAATCTTTTGGTAGGGTTTTCTAGAAAACCGAATATTTCATTGCACATGCACCTAATCCATCGAAACTGTATCGTTTCGACTTCAAATTTTTATCATAGATACTAGACATTTCTATACTCGGGTGTTTTTCGATTTATCCTTTTCCGATGCTTCCCTCTTTGGGTGAGAAAGAAAATACAGATGGTCTTTAGTCTTCTTACAGGATATTTAGATGGTCACTCACGACCACCAGTGACGTATTCACGATTTTCCAAGCGGGGAGGTCAATATTTTTTCCACCATATCAACAATTTATTTATTATTTATTCCCTTAGAAAGTACAACGCTTAGCGAAACCGCCTTCAGGAAAGATTAGAATAAAAGAAGAGTGATCGATTCTTTCTGATGCAAGTTAATTTTCCAAAAGAGAAGACCTGTGCCCCCTACGCCCTTGGCTACGTCTCTGACGCCCACTGTGAAGAAAGCATCGAAAAACACACGAGCGTAAGTATTTAGCATGTGTAGTAAAACTTTGAAGCCAAAAGGATACAGTTTTAATGAATTACGTGCATATGTAAATAGATAAATTTTTGAAAAACGTATTTCGAAAAAAATGCAACAGAAGTTTAAAAAATCGACCTTTTATCCTTCCTGAAAAATCACGAAAATGTACTCGTAAGACAAAACGTTCCAGCAATGGAAAGAAGAGATTTTGGACTACAAAATGATATGCTTTTCTACAAATCAGATTCCAACCTGTCTTTGACTTGTAATAGATAACAGCCAATCGAATATCCGGCACAGCTTTGCACAAAATTTCTTGTGGCTGTTAAGAAATTTTCACTCGTTGCTGTGCCAAATTCACGTAAGAAATAATTTCTCAATGATAACTTGGAATTTTTTTTAATCTGATGTAATGAAACAGCATTCAAAATTGGCTCAATTAAACCTAAAACCATAGAGTATCAAAGAATTCTAGCAGTGTTTTAAATTAAACATATATGAGATAAATACCACTATTATTGGATAAAACGAGAATATTAATGGGACGGATAAATACCGGTACATGTTCAAGTTGCCAAATTTCCTAAAAAAATAAAACATTGGCATATAATATAAAATAGTCAATAAAATTTCTATACCTTTAATCGAACCATAAATTGATAAGCAAGTAATTCATGTCTTAAATCGTCACCACATTTGACAATGGCAGCTAATAAACGCCAATTTCTCAAATGTCCATATGGTGAACTTTGACGTAAACGTTGTTCTTTTTTGTCCCATGGTTCTTTTAAAGCGGCTGCCGACGGATCTTCTGGATCACGCTATAAAAATAATAAAATAAATTGAAATTAAAATTTAGAGTTCATAATAATTTTATTACTTCAAATGTTATGGGTCCCATTGTTTTCACTTCTGATAATCTTTTTCTTATTTCAGCCGCCATTATTTCTTGTTGGCTTGAACGACTTTCTGTCGAACGTATTGATTGAGTATCAGATGTTGGTCCTCCGGTGCCATTGTGTGCTAGTTGATGTTGAGTCATGCATACATTAGGTAACTTGTATGCAGCTCGTTTTGGTGGTTCATCTACTTCATCCGATGTTGACCAAATATCAGCATCGTCATTATTTACAAATGAACGATAAGAATCGATCAATTCTGCATCTAAACTTTGCGTTTCACATGTTGCATTTAGATAATTATTATAACGTTCACTTTGCAATGTTAAATTTTCTTCGGAACGTGTTGAACGTAGTTTTGAATCAAACTGTTTTGTGGGCAACGGAGAACAAAATACATTATCGCAAGCAACAACTTCAATATAGATAATATATGGAGACTAAAATGAAAATATTGATGGTCAATAAATAGAAAACAATAACAAACAAACTACTCATAATTCTAATCCATTTGATACAGCGCACTATATACGTACCCTATCTCTGGAATTTAATACGGTTGATTCTGTATAAGCAATACGAACAACATGATGTTGAAAATTATACAATGGCACCCACACACGGGCAGGTAAATTCATATTCATACGTTTCATTTCGGCAATCAGATTCTGACCTATAGTAAATAAATTATAAATTCATTTCTTGCTGACATGGTACATAATACTTACTTTTCTTCTCTTTTGTTGGTACTTGTGGTAGTTTTTTGCCAATATTCACTAGTGCTGTCATGAAAAAGTGTTCAGGACCTAACTTAGAAGCCTAAAAAAACATATATCCATATTAATCAATTAACAGAAAATTGTTAGAACAAATAGTTTTTGATACTAAAATACATTGATTCATCGTGTTGGAAAAATCGATATTTAACAGATTTTTGGAGTTTTGAGTTCTAGATACGGTATGTATCTATCAAATACAACTTACATTACATGTACATTCTCGTCTACGAAATCCATGTACACTTTCAAAACAAAGGCAATTATTATCAAATGCACGACCAGAATTTATATCGCCTAAACACAGCTTTGGTTGACGACGATGACCATTAACGTTTATCGATTTTTCTAAAAGAAATATAGAAAAAAAAGAGCTAAGATATGATAATACATAAAATTAAATTAATAGAAGAACACGTGTTTTAATTTTAAAAGGTAAATGCTAATTTAGTTTCTAGAAGTGATGTTGATTCCTTAAGTTAAAAGTCTGTACTCATCTGTTCAAATGGTGATACAAAAGCGAACAAAAAGGAAGGCACCCATGAAATTAGAGGAAAATATACACGCGCACTGTTAGTTTAGATCAAATATTCATACACACGCACGACTTCCGTTCGTTTCTCACTTTTTAAACTAAAAACTAGTCCTGAAATGAAACTCTGATAATATTTTTGTCGAAGAAAAAAAAGAAGCGTTTTTTACCAGAAACATCACTTTTTGATTTTTGGTGTCCTTTTTTCTTTGCTTGATTGATATTTTCTTGACCCTTTTCTTGATATGCTCTTTCACTTTTAGTATCATAATGGTCATTAATAGGAAATTCATTAACCGATTCAGAATTATTGAACGTTGGATCGTTGTGTGGTTGAACAACTGGTTCATTTTCATCTGTTATTATCGTTGGGATATGTAAACATTCTCGTTCATTAAAATTTTCATTCTCTTCATCTAGTGGAAAATGATGATGATATGTGGTGGCTGTAGGTGTATAACATATTTTTGGTTTATATTTTTCATATAAAATATCGAAATATAATTGTACAGCATCGTTAGGTTTAGTCGCTTTTTTCATAGTGTCCGCAATGTAAGCATCCAGTAACCAGACACATTGAAGAGAAAAATCAACACTTTGAGTACATCTAAAATATACCATAATATAGAATTGCTTGTAACTATTCTTTCGATGTGTACAAACCTAGATGTAATGTAATCATGAATGACATTAGCTATAGATTCAATGTGTATATACATGTTGAGCAATTGTGGAAGATAAAAATCGAGTTGATCATTTTGGTATTCAAATAACTTTTTACCAAGAAATTTTTGTACACTTGGCTCTTTAGAACTGAACAAATATGTGATAACAATAGATACTGTACAAACAGTTGAGTCTAATAAACGTAATAAACCCGATTGTTTGGAATCTAATATTATTTGATCTCCTACTTCAGTTGATTCAGCTTTTGAAAATGATGAATGTTCATTCTCGATTGAATTAGTAGTATTGCACGTTGTAGTAGAAGAATTTTGCTGAAGATCATCTGTTTGTGGTTGGTCATGAGTATTATTCTCAATAGTTACTGGTAATACTATCTTTGGAGATTGTAATGATAATTTATCTTGGGCATGTCGTCTAAAGAACATCATTTTGACAGGATATTGTAACTATCGTTAGAATTATGTTTTGTTGACACTGATGAAACTTTATTTTATTTCGCATTAACACATCATTCGACATCTACAATATAAAAACAATACGATTGGATATAGTTCATCATATTTTTCAAACTGAGTAGTGAAATAACGGCACATCTTTACATATCAATCTTTAATAGTTATGTCTTACAAAAGTGATTTCATTTCTGAAATCAGTCTAGTGCTACATACGTCTCAGTATTACATTCTTTTAGCGAATACTCCGCATTCGACCTCGAACTTCAGACAGAATTAAATCTATACAATTTCTTAATATTAATTGTGTTTAGTTAACAAAATAAGAGTACAGTTCTCGTTTATATTTAAAAGCAGAGGAAAAAATGTAATAGAAAAAAACAACAATATGCAAAATAATATTAGAAACAACAATAAATTCTTTCAACCCCATCGCATATTCTTCAAAAGAATTTGCCTAAACGTATGCTATTATTATTGCCACTGTTTAATAATCATCCTCATCATCAGACATTTCTTTAGCATACTCTAATTCTTCTTGTTCTCGTTCACGTCGCTCCTAAAGTGAAATAAAAAGACGTTTAAAACAAAGACGTAATAAAAATGGTAATAACATACCTGAGCAGTTTCTAATTCTTCATTATATTTTTTTGGTGGATAACGCATGGCTTTGACAGATTCATTATGAACTTTTAAACAAAATTCAATACGTTGATGAAAGGCATTCATTGGTTCACGTGTTGTGTAAACATCAATAATTTCTCGCGATTGCATATAACCTTTTTCATGATCAATCGACGCTTCAATGACACCATCACGGATAGCCTTAAGAAAAAAATTATTTGAATCTTTTTAACTAATATAATATAGCGCATTTATTAAATTACTTTAGAAATAATATATTCAGCATTTTCAGGTGAATCCAATTGTAATTTTTGTGCAATATCAACAAATGATATTTTTGCATAAGATAAATTGATCATTTTAATTCCCGTTTTAATCACGTTATGTCGGAGTCTACAAACAGTACATCAGTTATCTACAAGAGAATTTTTTTTTTATATCTATAAAATCATACCGAATAATAAGAGACCAAGTTTTCTCTTGTTGAAAACGATCACCAAATGTCTCAAGGACTTCTTTGAATCGAGCCAAATTTCCTGCTCGTACAGCTAAAACGGTACGATAAAAACAAATTTAAACATTATTAAAGCAGATCTAAGTAATAGATACCTAATGTCAGTTGATAATATGGATTCAGTGAACGTTTTAACTGTTGATTTTTAAATGTTGCTTTATCAGGTATATCACCGAGTAATAGTTCAACAGTCACAAGAAACTTTTGAGCCTAAATTAGCATAACATAAATAATTAGTCTTAATAGACACAGACGATAACAATTTTCTTCACATTTTGGCGAAAACCAATAGCTGTTTGTTGTGGTGCTTTTCTAATAGCTGTTAACAGATGTTGATGTGCTTTTGTATACTCCAGTTGCATTGCACGTATTCGACCTGAAGAAGAAAACATAGATCTGATGAAAAAAAAATGAATTACAATCTTTTGACGCTGTTATACCAAGATAATAGAGATATCGTGCCCATTCATTATTAGATGCATGATCAGGAAATACCGATTTTAATACAAGTTTTTGTGCTTGACTATATAAATTATAATGTAGATAATTTCTTAATAATAAATTAATCAACACAGCTGTACCTTCAAAATCATTACGTAACGTGGCTGTACGTAAACGAGAATGAAGAAAACTAAATAAAATAAAAAAAATCATAAGCACTAGAAATATGTATACGAAACATCGAACACGAAAATATGTTTCTTTATAGTTTTTTGGTTCATTTTTCACCTGATATGAATACACAAAGTTTGATATAGTGAAGAAGATACGTACGGTCTAATTTCATCCAATTTATTATTTAATTCAAATACACGAGCGTAGTAGAAATAACATTTTGCTGCAAGTAAATCGATTGTACGACGATTTAATACAGTAGTTTTCTCAACAAGACGTTTAGCACATTCAGGAGCCTATAAATAGAGTCAATAGGTGGAAACTAGTATTTTCTTGATAATTTGCTTTAAATTTACAGATTTTAATGGATTTCGATCAATTAAAAATAAGAGTACAATTAAATGTATGTACAAATCTACTTCAGGTAATGAGATAGCACGTGAACGAGATGTTTGAGAACGAGACGTTGCTGCTCCACCGATTGTGGTTGACAGTGTGCTCGATGCGGCTGTAGCTGATGGTGAGACAGTTGCTGTTGAAGATGGCATATCGACATCCATTGGCTAAAGGAGAAATGAAAGCTTTATAATAGTGTCAGATACGATTCATCGATTTTGAGCTTACTTGCACAGAGTGAATATAGGATAAAAGTATTTCTCTTTCGCTTGCATTTGTTGTATAGTAGAAATTGATCAAACGACGAAGTACATCTTCATTAAGGCGTTTTCTTGTTGACGCCAATGCACGTAGCACACGAAGAATATACCAAGGTTCTTTCGACGTAACAGCTTTTTCAATTGTTCTCACTTGTTCTTTGATATCTAGAATAAGACTGACCTTCAGCAACGATTAAACAAAACGACCGATACTTACCTTCAATTGTTAATAAATCAACATCTTTCTTCTCTTCTTTTGAAAGCATAACAGTTGTCTCTTTTCCATCAGTTTCTTTCATTTCAGTATCGTTCAATTCCACCATTCTTTGTTTTTCCGTAAACGATTTTTGATGAAATCTGAAATTTTGGCAAGCTAAGTTTACATACGAAGAAACTACCACAAGTCTACAGAAGAGCAAGTTTTATTTTCTCACAGTACAAAAGTTATTTGGCTACAAGGAAATGTGAGTGCGTCAGTATCTCTAACGGGGAACTGAAACGAAGGGCAAGTTGCCACTATGTTTTTTCCTGTAGAGTGCTACAAAAACAAAAGATCTAAATTCGTTGGTTAAACCGATCTAAAATGGTGTTTAAGGGAGATTGTGACGACAATAGTAGAAAGAAAATGACTTGAAGATGTAAACAGGAAAAAAAATCATTTATTTACAACGATTATGAAAGAATCAAATAACCTGGTCCATGCTAAATGATGATGCTCTTCTAGATCATTCTATGATGCAAATGCTATTTCGACGATTTGTCAACATCGGAAACTGGGAGTTAAAAAAGTGTTAGATAAATTAACATTCATCTTGGAATTCTTGACTTCGTATATCATTTTTCAGCAAACAGATACTTAATAACGTTTGTAACGTACTGATTTAGATCTTTATTCGTTGATTAGGCTGTTGCACTGAGACCTGAAGATGATGATCGATTTTTTTCATTCAATGATTTTAATTACCATCGTGACTGCATCGTTGTTGATCGATCTCATACTTGTCGGTTTGTTTCATGACAGCGATTATATTAGGAAAACAACGTGTAACAAATTCGCTTAAGATTTCTTTTGCTAATTCATGCCCACCCTGCAAACAAATTTTGTCCGCACTGGTTGTGTACGGATGCGCACCAATGCGGAATAATTTTTTTCTGAGCACTAGTGCGTACCGGTACGAGATACTGACATTCTTTCTGGCATCCGTACGGATCAGTGCACAATCATTACTGAAAAAATCCTATAAAAAAATTTTACCAGTACGGATGCGCTTCAGTGCGAAACCTTTGTTTTCAATTATCATTGTGTTTTGTCAACTTCTGTCTATATAAAGACCACAGTATACTTTTAATATGTCGAATGTCTTTCTGACTTCATCTTTTCCTTCTCATAAGGTAATGCCGCATGATTTTGCTATGGCAATGTGCTACTGATGTCAACCAGTACCACATTCTAATTAATACAAAATTACCAAAAGCAACGGCAATAAAAAAACTAGTTACTGATTAAATAAATTCCAGTGCGGCACTGAAAAAAATCAGTGCAACACTTTTTCAGAAGATTTATATATATATATATATGCACTGCTCGGCACCTGTTATCACAGACTTGGCACTTGTGTGCACTTTTTCAAGTGCCTCACTGGAATGTTTTCTGTAGAACAATCATCTAGAATATGACAATTAAAAATACATACAGCGCAATAAATACATATTCTTAAGATTAACCAAAGAAAAGGCAAAGTGTGCATCTTATAGCGCAGTCGCTTAGTCGATCCTTTATAGAGAACATGAATTGGTTTTTAATTCATATGGGTCGAATTTCTAGTCATTTACAAACATATGAAGTAGCAAATTGAAATTCACACAGGTCATTGGAATTACTCTAGCCACCCTAATGAATGCCCACGTACTTTGCACAAGTACTTCGCTTGTACTACAAGTACTTCAGAACGCATTGAAAACAAAATTCAAAATATTCTTTATCGGTCGGTACAATAATTTGTCGGTCAAATTTTGAGTGCCATAATATGACACGTTACAGTACTCCAGGTACTCATAATCATTAGAAACACTGGCACGCGTTATTGTTTGGCATTCCCATAAGTAAAACTATAGGAGAGGCGGAACGTTTTCAGCGTTATCTAATAACATTGATCAAACTGCAACTCCATTCACTAATCATTAGTCAAATAAATCAAATGAATCGTTCGTATGAAAGAGAGAGCTAGCGGCTAACATCTGGAAGCCATTTAGTCATATTAGAGAACGCCAATCACTAACGGGGAAAAGCAAAGCTTTCTGAATACTGTATTAATGCACAAAAGTTACTAGACCATCAGGCATCTCTATTCCATTTCTGCTGAATCAAGTCGCCAGGTTCGTTCAGAACGCTTCTGTGTCGAACACCTGCTTTAACTATTTACAGTGGCAACATCATAAGAAAAAATTAAAATTTCAGAATAATTCAGGCATATGAAGGTAGTTTGTTATATATATATTCCCTTGACTTTATGTTAGTCTACGGTCTTACAAAATGGTTGTCTGCGTGTGTATGTGTGAGTGTGTGGGTGTCTGTATGCGCAAAATATGGAAAAATGGCTGTCAGATATTCTATGGATAAGCGAATCACAAGAGAGAGAAGTAGAAAATTATTTTTTACACAAGGGAAAAAATATTCAAAGGGATGGCTGAAAAAATAGTTACTGATGTAGAGAGAACGGAAAACTAAGCAAACGTTGCTGTAGTTGGGAGATAGATGTCGGCAGAAACCAGTCCATTTTGATAACACAAAAAAGGTCATCTACGGATAATAAAACTGGCAGAATACAGATAGTCTATCATGGCGAATTGACCAGAAATATTTGCAGCCTCGCTTCGGATCTTCACTGGGTGTCCAGAAAACATTTTAGCTTTATATTACATTGTGCCCTTTTCCTGCGAAATCACATAAATTCACAACATTTCTCAGTTATGCTGGGTAAGATACGCCAGGACTAAATGCTAGGAGGTTAGTGCTAGCTTACCGTATTTTTTGATTGATTCGTCCTATGCGAGTAAGAAAGTAAGGGCACCATTTTTTATTTATTCTTCTTGTCTCTCTTATGAGAATTTATATTGTTTACTCTAGTATTCAGAGCTAGGCCTATAATGATTCTATCGCAGGCCTTATTTGAAAAGAATCAATAAAGATATAAACAAAAAAAAATAGAATTTTTAAACAATATACTATCGGCTATTGCAAACAATAAATTATACAGCTATTGTATCTTTAGTTGGCTTTCAAGACAAGGACACGAATAAATTATTCAATACTGATAATACATTCTACTTAACACAAAACATTCCACATGATTGGTTATTTCCATATAATCCATCATGGTGGTGCTGGTACTACACATGCAAGCATCACATGCAAGGCTTACTTACACTAATATTACCTTTCGGAGTTGATCAACCATTTAACGGCGATCGAGTATTTATCAATAAGTTAGGACCAAGACCTATTCCCATACTTCAGACCAATGCGAAGAATTTGACGAACGCAATTCGTAATCTTATCAATGACAACTACAGCATGTATGCAATGAATACGAAAAAAACTGGTGACTTGATGAGGAACGAAGATGGGCTTAGGCATTGTATTCGTCTTATTGAAACAGAACTCCTAGCGTAAAATAATTCCAGCCGAGGTCTTAAAACAATTAAAAATGGTTTTTATGGGAAATTTTATATAGAGTTCAAACACAAATAATCATAAATAAGAGAATCGGAATGCTGATGAGACTGTCGAGGGTGAGGATGTGAGTTTCTAGAATAGATTCAAAGCATAAGCGTATCGAACCTTGCTTAAGGGTTCATTATCAGGTATGTTTTTGAATCACAAGAGGCTGCATAGCCATTCAAAGAACATCTCAATATTCAAAAGAGGTAATTCATATGGAAGCCTAGAAGGACAGCCAACATGAAGAATGCTAAATCAAAAAGTGTATGAAGGTGAGTGGAAGCTGCCATTACTAGTTTCGACCTTGCTTAAGTGTCTCATCAGATGGCTTGATCTCTAGTTCCAATCTGGTCGTGTACGCTATCATGTTTTTCGGGCGTCCTCTGACATTTAGGTTTCCTGCTTAACTTGATCGGTTCACTATCGTTCGTCTCTGTCGACTGCATCACAAGGTATGAATCAGGTGAATTTTCTTTGCTCTGAAAATCGTAATTCGTTTCTGTATAGATTCATTTATTTATTTTACAATTTCGATGCGTGGGATGAGGGTGAGAGTGTCAAAATGATAAACAGACTGACCGGCATCTCTGTTAAACACAAATTAATCTGCTGGTCTCAACTCTCGCTTGTTCAGCAACCGCTTTTTCGTCGAAATTAAGGAAAAATAAAATTCTTTTGTGCTCGAAATTCAAAGATATGATGCACATTTAATTGCCGATTTTTCATAATTACTGGTTGTTATTTCATTGTAATTTTTATATTACACGATACACAGACCAAAGATTCTAAAAATGCTGTTTTGGTGTTCGATACTTTAAAAGTGTCTAGTCTAGGTCAAAGCGGACCTTAAATTCTAAAAATAAGGCTTCAGCGATCAATGTTCTAAAAGTGCCTGGTCTATCTCAATACAGACCGTAGATTCGGAAAATGATGGTTCCGTGTTCGATATTCTAAAAGTGCCTGGTCTTTGGTAACGCAGATTCTCAAAATAGACCAATGATCTTCGAAATAATCCTAGAGTGATGTGTTCTAAAAGTGCCTGATCTATCTCAACCCAGACCATCCATTCTGAAAACGATGTTTCGGTGTTCGATATTCTAAAACTGCCTGGTCTGTGTCAACACAGACCACTGATTCTAAAAGTGATGTTTCGGTGTTGGATTTTCTAACAGTGACTGGTGCATGTCAATAGAGACTACTGATGTTGAAAGTGACGTTTTGATGATCGGTGTGGTAAAAGTACCCGGTGTATGTCAACACAGACCACAGATTCTTAAAATCATGTGTTGGTGATCGATATTCTGAAAGTGCCTGGTCTATGTCAGCGGAGGCTGTCAATACAGATCGGAGGTGATGTAGATAATCTTTCAGTGATGGATAGTATAAAAATTCGGGATTTTTGTCGGCAGGCACCATGGATTTTTTTTTTATGATGGTTTGAAGTGGATAGGTTTCCCGTTGATTATATTTGTTGTCTACATGAAGCTGAATTTTATTTCATTCAAAGGGCGTTGGACTGTAAATTTACATAATTTACAACATGAATTTCCGAAGATGGTGACGTGACATGTAACGCGATTGAAGGCGTGAATTTTGTCTTCAAGGAGCTAACTGCATGGCGCATTGGGACGCTCGATTGTCTTGTGTCGATACTCAATAAGCTTCAACAATTTTATGGGGTGGACATTTATTGAGGATATTGTTATCTTGTTATGTTGGCTGCTAAAGGTCAGATTTTCGGGCTTCAACGTAATTCGATTTATTTTAACTTCAGGTGACTGTCGATTGCGTGAGGAGTTTGATATTTGGGCGATGGACAAATCGGTTTTTTTAACATTGGCTATGATTAATCCAAATGGAAGCATTAACAACATAAAACGATTGGATAATGAATTTAAATATGTACCCGTGCAGGAAGACAAACTGAAACCGTTAACAGCGTTTCAATTGTCTGAAATATTTGTCAGTGATGATTCTGTTAGATTTGACAAAACCGCTCGTATTTATTGCATCACACAAATAAAGATTCTACTTGTATAATGTCTTTCATTTTCGGTTGTTTAGGTGTATGAATCGTGGAGAACAAAGCCAAAAGCGAAGTTCGAATGGTGGATTTTAGACAGGTCGATAAACATAATCATTCGATACCTTCGTGCACATGTCCGTTCTTCCGGATCAACAAGAAAGGCGGCGATTGTAGCCGCATAATGGCTGCAAAACGAAATGCGGGATTGTCAATTATCCAACCGAAACCAAATATGGAAAAATTGAGAGAATCATCAAAACTGACAAAGAATATCAAAAAGTCGGGTACAAAAAAGCCAAACTTTTTGGTTAAAGAGACGGTAATTATACAATATATGGTTATTATTTTCAACTATCAATCCTTCCTCTCTCTTTGCTTAGGCCTTGTCTACACTACAAAAGTTAAAGGAGCTTTAAGCAATTCTATTGGCTTAAACTAACTTTTAGCCAATAGAATTTCTTAAAGCTCCTTTAACTTTTGTAGTGTAGACAAGGCCTTTTATAATAGTCAACAAATTCAACGAAAATAGTCGAGACAAATTTAGTTAAAAAACCAACAAAATAAAAGTTGCTCAAGTACACCTCGACCATCTCGTACGTTCTCTCTAAGATGGTGAATGCTTTACTAGGCATCTAGCAAAATTGGAGATATCTCTTCTCGCACATGCACGACGTACATCTTCAAGATATCTATGAACGATAGATATTCTCTTTTTCTCATTTGTCGTGTGAAGAAAGAGGAAAAGTCAGTGCAGCATTATTTTCATTCATTAGTTTATTTTTTCAACAGTTTTTTAAACTTCTTTTTTCTGCCTCGTTCTTTTACGTCACACATATCGCAATGTTTGCACACGCATATCTTGTGCTAGAAGAGATATCTCCAATTTTGCTAGATGCCTACTGTATTTTAGTGTCGAACACCATTGGCGAATATACTCAATATCAGCGAAGATGATTTTTGACTTTTCTTATGAATAACAAAATATGTGACAGTATAAACATTTATTAACAATTTGAATTTGACAGGAATTAAGACGCTTTAAAGAACTTACGAATAGTTTTAAAAATATCCACTTCAGCTTGCTTGCTGATGGTGCTCCAGACCTTGTATGGGTTTTACCTAAACGTTGGAGCCTATTATAAATGAAAGCCCGTTCAAGTCTTACCCTAGTGAATGTACTTGAACCAAGTACTTGCGCAAGTACTTGGATTAAGTAATGAAGACAGTACTTTTAGACTTTTTTAAGTAAGTTTACTTGCAAGTACTTGAGAAAGTACTTGACAAATAAAATTTAAGTACTTCACTGGTCTAATGCAAGTAAATTTACTTGAAAAAGTTAATGGATTAATTATCCTCGATTCTAACACTCTCGATTTAAGACGACTTAGATCATTACACGTTGTACTTTGCGTCACCTATCGCCGCTGGCCGTGGAAAGAATAAGAAACACGGTGTTCTGATAGAATTTAGAGTTATTATAGTCTTTGATAAATGGCAATATTTTCTTTTAAAATACGATTCCAGTTTCAAACTGCATTACTAGATACTAAAATTTCAACCAATCGGTCATCTTCCAACTTCCATCTTCCATACCAACTTCCATTTTTAGTCACGACCTACCATACTTCTATACTTGCGTTCCTATGCTAAACTTACTAAGTAGTCAGAGATAAGTAGAAGACCTAAGTGTGTTAGTAAATTGAGGTCTGTACAACACGCTTGCAGAAAAGTGTCTTGCGGAAAGATTTTTAATATATCTATTAATTAGTGCAGGAAGTCCATATAGAAATAGAAAGTCTTGCTTTTAACTTGACAATTGTTTGAAAGCAAATATATATTAACCACAACAATTTGACCTTGACAACGTTGTAGCATAAGAAATGGAGGTCATATTTTCAGTTTTTTGCTAGTTCACCATACGAGAAAACTTCAATTTCTAAGAAATGAATGAATTAATAAATATAAAATAATTTAAATTTGCTTGAGATAATCTGTTGTCTGCGAGCCCTATTATGTTTTTTGAAATTCGATTGATTGCCTCTGTTTTACTTGCCCAGCCGCAGAATCGGAATTATCTAGCACTGTAGATGATAGTAATAGAAAAGAGGTAAAAGTTATTGATCTATAACGAAAACCAACCAGGTTTTGCTCTTTATTTGTCAAAAACCTTTGAGGAGCAGAACTGAGGGAGAGTTCTACAAAGGGCCCCACGTATTTTTGGTTCTGATGCAAAAATACAAGATTAAAACAAAGAAAATCAATAGTATCAAATTGAAGTATTCGTAAGCGTTTTTGATTCTAAACGCTGCTATATATTTCTAATATCTTTTCTGCATATTTGGTTCATTTTTCTTAACCAAAGAAGAGGAACTAACTCTATTTTGCAGTGCATGGATGGCACATTCTTGTACATTTGTGTTTTCCAATTATCTCGGTCAAACTTAATGATATTTACTCCACTTAAACTTCCTCGCAGTCAGCACCAAGCCTCGGCTCATCAATTCAATATTGTAAAGAAACGACAAAACAGAAAAATATCGATGAAGCAACTGCAAGACAGTCATTTTATAAGTCTTACTATATCTTATAAAAAATAAGAAAGTTTCTAGAAAACCAAGGTGAAGGGTGAAGAGTAAAAAAAATATTAGTATAACTAATAATTACATATTCACTCATTATAACGTAGCAAGTCATTCTCAGTTTTTGTTAGGCGTCGGTTCATTAAAAGCAGAATTTCATTTAAAATATATCCCTAGAAAAAATTATTTAGAGCAAAACGAATAAAAAGGAACTGACTTGTCTTGTTTTAGTGTTTTTTTTTATTTTAATAAGATGAATAATTATTTTGATTATCTGTATGTATCGTAATAATAATACTATTATTTAACTTACTTAAGAGCAATAATTTAAGAACGAAGATTAGTAATCCAGCAGCGTGTTTGTGTATTACTAATCTTCGTTCTTAATACCATTATATAAATCTTGACTTTTTCTAGTACATTAAGAATATGAGATAAAAGATTTTGTTTTTTCATTATTAACAACAATCTAATGAACATTAATGTATCTGTTTTGGAGAAAATACAGTATTAATGATTCTACACAATCACCAACGTATCCAGAAATTCTCTAATAAGATCAGAGAAAGTACAGAATAAACTTTGAACTTCGTTGCAAAATGAAACAACAATAACTTTTTAACATAATTATAAGGTTTAGAAAATTGTGCACTGGTAGAGGTTGTTCAGCCTATGTAATAGTCGCGTTATTAAAAGGCTGAATCGAGATAAGGCACTTCTACTAGTAATAAATTTATGAAAATGAAAGAGTCTAAAATACTTTCGCCTTACACTAAAATCAGAAAAACTGAACATTTTTATAAGACTTGCAGTGTTAGTTCTATAGTTTTTCTAAATAAATAACATAATTTGTTTTTTAGATCAAAACGATTTCTAGCTGATCAATTATTTTCTGCCTCTACATTCGTTACGATTTACCTGCAGCATAATGTAAGTAGTTCAGCAGTGATATCATAATGTTCGCAATTAGTGTTTGTGTAACTATCGTATGTGTATGCCAAGAAACACTGACCAAAGTCTTGCTCAAAAGTTCCGTTTCCCAAATTCTCTGTGATCTATACTAGTTTAACGATATAAAATCTTGTGAAACACCACAAATTATTCTTTTTTTCACTTTGAAAGTGTTAAATCAGAGATAGAAGATAATTGATTAATAATTGACTTGAGGTAACCACCTGACCGGATATTAAAAATACAATTGATTAACTTCATTATGAAAACACATTATGAGAATCTCCTAACATTTTATGAATGTTTATACTCATCTTATTTTGTTATAGGTCGTGTACGCCCATAACTAAAGTAATTATCCGTTCTGCATGTTGTACATTCATATTATTTTTACTTGTGGTATTTGTATCGTTTGAATTTTATCATGTTACTATAAAAAATTTAAACCAAACTGAAAATGGTACGAACATCGATACATTAGATTCATTTAGTTCGTCTGATAATCTAAAATTAGTCAATGAAATACATCGAATTTATTATAATGAAACAAATTCTACTGAAATTAGTGAGATTGAACTTATCTCTCGTATTAAGCAAATAATTGGTAAAATGAATCTCGCTTACAATATTTATATTATGTCATCCTTATGTTATCTAGTCCATTTATTATGTTTTATACCATTGTTAGTGTCGTTTTTAATGTGTTTACGTTATGAAAAAATACTTAAAAACGGCATTATTCATTTAATGTTTTCGATTGCTGGTTTCTGTTCATTACTTCTCTCATCATGGACCGAATTAGACAAGTCAAATTTAAAAATGAGTTTTAATGATTTGATGGGTGGTACTTATATCGTACAAATATTTCTGGCCTTCTATTCAATATTCGAGAATGATCGTCTGTACCAATATAATCCTGGAAATGGTGTATAACTAATTTTCATATTAGGCACTTAACAGACATTTGTTTATATTGTCTGTAGTTAATGTTATTTATGTTTAACACAAAAGAGTTTAAAATTCAACAGTGTTAATAGTTTGTACAGTTATACGATGGGCAACCGCTGAAATCAAAAACAAATAGTCTTTTTAAGTAACATAAATTGACGAATTAAGTTGCAGGGTAGGAAAATGAGAGATATAACAGAAGTTTTCACTTTTATAGTTTTGTTTTTATATTTCTATACTATTATACTCAATTGGTTCAGTTTTTCTTTCGTAGTTAGTGACATAAATGAAAAGTGGATTTATTTGACTCTACTTTGTTAGTGTTGTTTGTCTGAATCTCTATTGATCTTTTGCACCATGCTTTGTTCTCATTTTTTTTTTGTAAATAATCAATGGACTTTCCTAGTCATGTAGCGTCAGTTATTTTGAGCTTTCATTACCGTATATTCATGTTGTGTATTTTTGAAATAAAAGCTAGCTGATTATTTTTGAATGAGTATTCCTTCTCGACATCCGTGAAGCGAACAGACTGACTGAAATATGGCAATTGAAGTAATAGAATAAAAAGTTATATAAAATCTGTTCTCAAGCTTGAAAGGGTCAGAATATAATGATGTTGAGTTTTTTAATTGTTTATTCGAGGAATGTGTAATTAAATGCTGTTGAAAAGAAGCGAAAGTATGATAACTTTTCTTCTTTGCAAATATTTATTTTTATGACTTTGAATGTTGTACTTTGTCATCATCATCGAAATTATGTTTGTAAATTGTGACAATCTTGATTCTATAAAAGTTTAATTTGAAAAAGTTTATATTTGTTTTTTCAACTGTTAATGAGTTAGTGGAAAAATATACAGCTCCAGTCTTATTCATTGTTTGTCCCTAATACGTGTTATTCTCAAACATCAGCGAGATATTGAACTATTTTTTGGAAAATTGAGAAAATATTTAAACAAAACATCAACCTCGTTTATCTAAATGTATTTTTGTCCCGTCCTGGTTTCTGAAAAACCTATATTTAAGCATGAAAAAAGGTCAGGTTTTCGCCGTTTTTACGAAAATGTCAAACAAATCCTTCGTTTCAGGTCCGGTCAAAATATTTTTTAGTCTCAGTATCGGTCCCGCAGCATTATGTGCTCCATTGACAAAATATTACTCATTATTCGGTTTTTGAACTTATTAAAAAAACATCCAGTACAACAACGGTACGAATAGATTCCGAGTTCTACACATCATTGACTTCGTACGTTGAAAGGGGTCTGGTATTTTTCTATCAATATTTAAAGATTCAAACATTTAGTTTTAGTGGCTGAAGACTCAATTAGTATCTATTTTTTACAAAAATGTATTTTGAGTAGTCAGAGAAGCTATTATCAAACGAATGCTATTGAACTTCATCCTTTGTCTGATGTTGTTTGATTAAACAATCAGTTTTTACTTTCGTTTAACTCAAGGTCTGTCTCAGATAACAGAGGATAAAAATATTCAGCATCTCACAACAGTTCATATTGAATTGAAAGAAAATGAAGCATTGAATAATCAGCTGAACATAGAAAACACACATGAACATACAATAACATCTGTAGCAATAGAGACAACGACAAATGCTAATACTCCGCAGATATTGTGATTAACACTCATCGAAATTGAATATGAACTTCCTCCTCTCTATCTACCGACACCGTACCTATAGTTGATTTGCTCACCGACACATCACCAGCAGTACTCCCAATATCCGCAGAAACTAAAATAGTACGTTGTACCGATGTTCAATTCATAGTAGATACGTGTGAGAAAAGTACACTGTCGAGCATTCAACCACCGATTAACAAAACAACAGATAAACTATCAGAATCAAATCATATCAATCATGAAAACAATCAAGAATTAAAATGTCAAAAACTTGAATATACATTGCATTATTCTTTGTGTTGTAGCAATCTTTGTCACTTTAGTTGTTCCCAAAAACCATTCAAGAATTTTAGGAAATCAAAATAACATTAGATAAAATGAAAAATTCGAATATATATCGAGTTGAAGCAAAATTAGAAGAATATGTTTGTGACGTTATTGTAATGAAAGCAAGCACATAATATGAATGATGTAAGAAATACATTAATAAACGAGTGTTCAACCATCGAGAACCGGTTCCGACTGTCCCACAGACCTCTAGCTACCAACAAATTTGAGAAAATCATTTAATCTATATAATTCGATCAAAATTAAGTCGAAAAAACGGTGGACCGAAATCAAGGAAAACTACTGTACAGCCGCTGACATGACAGAAACTAAAATAGCTGATATTAGGGTGGTCCGCAGGAATCCGTATCCTTTCCAGAAGGGTAGAGAGAGATCTAGTAAAAGTTATAGGGCTTTTGTAGAGAGATTCGAAGAGCAGAGGTCAGTGGTTCGAAACCCAAAGAGAACAAAAAAAAATTATTTTTTTAGGTGTCCGGCGAACATTGCCTTTGGAAAACCCACAAGGCTTACCACCTGCAGGTGGTCCGCGGATCTTGGTTTTCACGTGGATTTATGGCAAATTTTGTCTACTTTCAGAATCTGAAAACCCCAGATCTCTATCTCTTTTTTATAAAAAGTTATTCACAAAACAGTCAGCCGTACTATATTTTGGCGCCGACCGTAGTCCCTTTCCTTTGTTATCAATATCGCCACCAATTAAAAAGAAACGTTTGCTAAATAACAATGATATTGTTCTCCTAGCTAACGCTCATGTACATCATCTTGAAAAAAAGTCAGTTTAATCGTGCACGATTAATGAAACAAAAAACATACCGTTCGGTTCTGATACCGCCAGATAATAAAGCAAATCGAGCTAGTTTAAATCACCTTCAACTACAGTTCAATCACATAATAAAACAATATCCGCACAAACATCAAATATTCGATTCAGAAGTACAGTTTCGTAATGACATCTGCAATATCTATCAACAATGTCTAGTAAAAAGGGAGAATTGAAGAAAACATTTAACTTTAAAAGAGCAATAAAAACAATTTATGAAAAACAAGAAGTTGTTATCGACTGAAAATCAAACTAATACGTCTTCATCTTTATTTACTTGATGAACATACTTTTTACAAAACATTTTTTTGTTAGACAGATTTCGTTTTTTAATAATAATTTGTACCATAAAAGGACTGTTCGAATGCTCGGTTTGAAAAACTTGAACTTAAACGAACACGTGTAATGGGCTGAGAAAGATTCAGAATGATATTTGAATTATTTCCTATAAAACTCTTCGGTTTTCGAAAGTTATTGGTTTGGAGCCATTGTAGAAAAAAAAACAGCATACAACTTTGAAACGTATAGCAACCACTGATCCAGATGTCTTCAGTCTTACACTGGCCTTTGGTTGATAGTCAACAAATGTAAGTGCAAGGATCCTATAATTATCAAGTAGCAGAAAAGAAAAAATTTAAAATTTAAATGACGCATTCTTCTTTATGTAGGAGATCGGCCGATAAACAAAAATAAAACAGTTAATGCATTGTATTGTATATTCGGCTGAGTTACTTATTATCGTAGCATGACTTTCTCTTTCTATTCTTCAATTACTAAAAATACCTTTTATGTTGGGTACATTTCTTTTACAACATAATGTTACGTTGACATAACATGGTTCATTTATGATACTATTGAAGAAAGAAGGAACTTTTTTACTCTCCTGTTTTAGCTTGTTAATCCCTGAATAGAATTTAAACCTATATAAAAATTCCTGCTTCAGATAATTCAACAATTGTCAATGATTTCGCTATTCCCTTTTCAATGAGACAGACAACGGGTGACAATATATACATAGAATGGTTTGGAAAGCGAAACACTATGACCTTTTTTCCAAACTGTTTTCTACTTTTCTCCGAAGGAGAAACTTGATTTATTTTGTCATTATATGCGATAAAACATTCTGCAGATGCGATAGAATAATTAACTAGCGAACGTTTGTTGTTTAAGTTTTATTTGAAAAATACAGAGCGTAACGGCATAATGTTTTTCAGCCCTAAATTCGCAGAACTTTGTCTTCCTCTACATTTTGTTGCGAGTGCTACAATCGTTTTAAAAAGCAAACAAATACACTCTAAAAAGAATCCGTCTTAAAATAAAATGGCATAAGTCGGCTGCCAAACAGAAGGATTGATTCGTTTTGTTATAAGACTTTTTGATCCATCTTACCTTAACGTGAGCTACTTTTATGTGTCCTTTGCATTATTAGCGGGTGAAGGATAGTCCTGTTGGAGGACCGTGAGAGCACCGCAAGTACTAGTCATATCAATGATTTTAATAAGAAATCAAAATAAATTGACAAGTTTTTCCGAAGAGATCGTTGCTCTTTATGTATACTACTTGCTATCATACACTACACCAAGGTTTGACATTGAAAGGTTCGACATTAGTCTCATTCCAAGAAGAACAACAGACATTTCCCGTTTAATTACTGTGTTATTTATAGTGAAACTGAGATGATCGACTACTGATTGATTATGATTTGTAAAATAAATCTATGCACATTTTGAGTAATTAAGAGACATAAGATTATCTGACATCGCACCTCTATTTGATCGATAGACCATTGAACTTTATCTACAGACCAGAGAGTGCTCAAAGCATAACGATCAAAATAGAGAATCGTTGATGAGAATGGATTGGATGCATGTAGATTAGTTTTTGCAGCAATTGAACTAGGTGGTGCTGTAATATAGTGTTATTGTTGATTATATTGATTTCTTTTCTCTCGCCAATTTGCTGTGTAATGCAGAAACGCTTCGTATTTTCGAAGAAACGTCCGTGTAAAACACGAAGCACCATGACTATGCATCAGTTTGAGCTAGATGATGAGCAAGGTAATATAATATTCAAAAAAATATTTATGTGGTATTTTTACCAAACTTTATCGAGATTTTATATAAGTATGAGCTAGTTGTATTCTGCATACCTTATGAAAGGATCCCATAATGATCCTATTCGATTCTTTGGTGAATCTGATCAGATTCTTATATAAAAATCTTACCATAATACCACCCGTTTCTATTGACTGCTTTTCCATGTGGTGCTTTTTTTAAAATACCGACAATTATTCATGCGCTGTTCGAAAATACCGCGCGGTAGCCGTTTTTTGTCATTCGTCCTTGTGTTTTGCAGCCGTAGAAATATATAAGAAACAGAAATTTCGAGAAACTTTTGATTTTCTATTTTAGATTACCTTTTTTTAGATTTACGACTCCTCAAAGTGTGAATTTTGACTTTAGTAAATTTTCTCCCAGACATGAAGCCTTTTTGCTCTTTGGGAGCTATATAAATGACCAAAAAGAAATTAAAAATAAAGTTGTAAAATAACGATATCTTACTAAGTATTCCTAAGATACGTCTGAAAGGGGAGTTTTCTCACGCGTAAGAATTATGTAAATCATTTACTGACTAAGTATATAGCGACATAATTTATATAATTCAAATTATAAAGTATGCCGCTATTTTCGGAAATATTACACACAGAAAAACGCGCTCAAATGCATTTTTCTACTAATGATCATCTCTTCGCAATATTATATTAAAGTAAATAAAAACTGAATGTTCTTTCCTTTTTGGCTGCTAGAGGCACTACCATAGGAAAGATAATCATAATGGAAGCTCGTAGGGTATAGCATGTATTTGTTCACATTGGATCTGAGAAGTGAGTGTTCTCTTTATTAGCGGAGAAAAATGAAAGCATTATCTGCAGAATATGAGCAAGTTTCATTGAAAGATAAACGTAAACCTCACGAAGGTATTGTCAAAACTCTTAATAGCCTTAAAGGACGTGCTCTACGGTATATCTATGAATCATCCTACAAGTAAGTTTTTTAAAGTATTAAGTTCGTATCTTAGAAAACACACTATGCTTTTCCTTGTAGCAATCAAGATAATATACTGCCGTTGAATGGAAATCAAAAATCTTTGTCCGCACTTAGAATTAGAGATGAAGAATTACAGTATATTTTACCAGCACTACAAACCATAAATATGATAACACATATCGACCTTAGGTATAAATAATGAAACGCTACTCCTATCACATCGTTTTAATTCAAGATTTCATCGACTATAGATACAACAGAATTTCAGATCAAGGAGCAACATTAATCGGTGAATTTTTGAAGGTAAACAGAGTTAGAATTATTAGAATTTCCGTTCAGTATTTATTTTCACTATTTGATTTCCAGTATCGTTAATGAGGACCACCTTAGGCAGAGTATCTGTGAGCCCGAGTGCACAGACTATATCTAGTCTTTATTTCGCCTATCCTTAGAATCGTTCTTACACGGCGAATGAAGACAGAACAGTTAGCAGGTAGCATTTAACAGAAGGTTCAAAATCCATTATTTAATCACTATTAAATTCATCTTTTGTTTGGACGAGAAAATGAAAATGTGATGAAGGCCCGGATAGTAGGCTTGCTAAGCAGTTGTACCGCTATGAAAGAGTAAAAATAAATAAATAAACGGCACAGTACACACTTTTTTTTCTCTCAGAAGTGCAGAAAGAAGATCAGAAGCGCTATTGCAGATACTAAAAACTGAACAAGTATGTATTATGAGAAATTCTGTACGTACGTGTTTCGAAGATAACTGCACGAATCTGGTAAACAAAATCGTAGTACCAATTAAAGTGTTTTTATCCTTTATTTCAGAATGATGGATATACACAAATATTAAATTTACAAGGAAACAATATAAATCGAAGAGGCGCACAGGCAATTGCTAATGCATTAAAGGTTAGCTATTATTTAGAATCTTTTTATTGAAATAGTATATTTATTTGCGTCTATTATTAGGCAAATACATTTCTCACAAGCATCTCGTTAGCAGACAATAGCATCGGAGAAGGGGGTGGAATGGCCTTTGCAGAAATGCTACAAGTTAACGTAACGTTAGAACATTTGAATTTATCAAATTCTGACTTGGTAAAAGATTAATCATTCTTCTTTCTTGTTAGTTGCATAATAGTTAATCTGCTTTTTTTCAAAGGAAACGGATAGTTTAATTGCGTTATTAACAATATTAAGATATAATCCAAGCCTAAAATCGATCGATATTAGTCGACCAATACCACTGTTTCATCATACAAACTGGATGGACGATGTCGCTATTCATATCGCACAAATGCTGGAGGTACTAATTGAATTTTCTGAATCGACTCTTACTTCTTTCTATACATGAGGTATATGTTCTAGAAAAATGATGTTTTACAAGAGTTACATCTACAAAAATTTGAAATAAGAGACTATGGCTTTCAATGGATATGTGAAAAAATGCAACACAATCATTCACTTGTTTATCTCGATTTGAGCTGGTTCGTAGAGCCTCTTTAATTTTTGGAACGACTGATTTTTTTAATCAAGAGGACTTGAATCATGAATGACAAAGTAGTGATTACAGCTGAATTTTGACTCATTTTATTTATTTCGATTATAAGCTTTCGAATATTACATATTTATCGTAGGATATAGTAAAAAGCACAGAAGAACAAGTTAAAAGAGAAAACGCACAATTGAATAGATAATATTTGAAAAGTGAAATTTTTATGTATATATCTGTACATGTACTAGAAAGAGAGAATAGAGTAGAAACGACGCTACTATTTTGTCTACTTTGACTAAATGAGACTGCTACCCTATAGCATATCCCCATACCTGTAATTCAATATATCGAAGTTTGATATTTTTATTTGATGTTGGACTTGGACGACAAGTTAAAACTTGTATGGTAGACAAATGGTCATCTCATTTATAATATTTATTCAATTCACTGGCGATGTAGAGTTGATAAATGAGATTAGATGCCCAGTTTTAATCAACAACCTTATGATAACATGACAAAGTCAAGTACCTCAACAGTATAGAACATTAGCTGTCTCAGCGCTAGTGAATAGAACTACCAGAATTTGCTCCAAAAATGAACTGAAGCACAGGGGCGTACCTACTGGGGTATGATTACCACCTCTGGTTCCAGAAAAGTCATTGTTTTGTGTCTTCTGTTCTTCAAAAAAACATTTTTTTGGAAGAACGAAAATTTTTTTTAGTAGGGCCGGTCCGTGCTCTGAGATACTAGCTCCCCCGCTGCTGAAGCATAAAGAGTTTGAGTTGATTCGTTCGACGTCGATGAAAAATAGGCATAATATACAAAAAATTGATGGTACTATACAAGCTCTCGATTCAACATCAAATAAAAATATCGAACTTCGATATATTTGAATTACCCTATGTAGGAAAACCGAGTAATGGGTTAGACCGGTAACTTAAAACATTATTAACAATAACGATCCACTTTCAGAACTGAGTGTAATTTGTAAAACATCTGATACCACCAGACGATTTTTTCTAGTAAAAGATCGTCTGCGTAAAGATCAATTCTCGGGTGTTGTGTAAAGATTGCGCGGAAGAATATATCGGTAAAAGTGTTAGAGAAACTACTTGTCGAACTATACCGAGCATGCGAAAGATGTTGAGAAAGTAATAATACACCTTACAAGTAGCCTATCAAGTAAAAAGAAGTCAATAGGTCAAACGGTATCTCAACAATCACATCTAACTTTGAGACGAAGCACTCGTATCCAAAAAATGAATTTGTCGAAAACGGTTTTGAATTCAATCATCAGTCCATCTCGAGGAAGAATTCAAACTCGAATCGGCTCTCGAGAATCATGTGATAAGAACGGAACACTCTATTAATTTTACCAATATCTCTATCATTGAACGCGATAATAAATCGTGTCGTCTGTTACTGAAAGAGCCATTAGCCATTAGATCCAAAATACCGAGATTCAACGGTACAAATCGCTCTGTACCACTCTATGTCTTTCCCGAAGGTTACATCAGTACATTTTGATAAAACGAGAGAGATAGGGAACAACAATAAAACTTTTGCCATTCATTCAGTAGCAGTCTCATTTAGTCAAAGTAGACAAAATAGTAGCGTCGTTTCTACTCTATTCTCTCTTTCTAGTACATGTACAGATATATACATAAAAATTTCACTTTTCAAATATTATCTATTCAATTGTGCGTTTTCTCTTTTAACTTGTTCTTCTGTGCTTTTTACTATATCCTACGATAAATATGTAATATTCGAAAGCTTATAATCGAAATAAATAAAATGAGTCAAAATTCAGCTGCAATCAATACTTCGTCACTCTTTAGTTTTTGTCTACACTGTTAAAAGCTTTGACCTGATTTGATCACTGCCCAGGTCGGGCCGCACGCCCGTCGTACGCGCACGTCACGCTCTGTACACAACGTGCGCATGACGTATGCGTACGTCATGCGTACTTACTGTACATAAAGCATATCATGTGTACAATGCGCACTATGTACCATTTTTAGAGGTTTATCATAGATGTCAGATAAACATGTTATTATGGAACTGTAGAAACAGAAAATCAGGTCACGCTTGGTACGCCGACCGTGCATACACGTCGTCATGCGTACCAATTGAAACGTACGTCACGCGTACGTCGTACAGAGAATGAAATGCGCGTACAATGGGCGTAGCGCTCTACTTGGGTGTCCAGATCAAACAACCCTACCGTAGGATCCAGCAAGATTCTTACAGGATCCTACTTTAGGATCCTGTAAGATCCTTCAAAAATCTTGTAGAACTTTGTAGAAAAACCTCAAAGCCAAAAAATCCTACAGTGAGATCCTGATAGGATCCTGTAGTCAGATCTTATAGAATCTTACAAGATCCTATTGTAGGATTTTATCTGATTTTCTGCTGGTTTATCCTACCAGGTATATTGTTTTTATTTGTTTAATTATTCCCTCATACCAGATAGCCAGACTGAGGTGATTCTGAGCTGAGGTAAGCCCAAGGCTTGTGAGTACTAACTCGCACATCATCGAACAGCAGAGAGTTTCGATGTCTGAGTGTTCGGCGCGAAAATTTAAGCCTAAAAGAATTTTTCATTTTCTACACTAGAGTTGTATTGATATTAGAGTTGCTGCAAAACACGTTGGTGATTGTGTTCTCGTAAAGGAAAATAAAATATATACAGAATGAAAAAATAGGCATTCTACACAAAATCTTACCGTAGGTTTTTGTAAGGAACGATAAGATTCCTGTTACAGGAATCCTATAGGATTTTTGGCCATCCTATATCAAGAATTCTACAGAATTCCTACTGTAGAATTTCATAGGATCCTACAAAAGAAATCCTATTACTAGTGAGGTCCTAGTAGGATTGTTTAACCTGAGTGTTTTCTTTTGTTGTTTTGTGTATTATATAAGGACATACAGTAAAAAAGAAATAAAACTTTAAATCATCAATTGATTTTCTACACTGGTGATTTTCTAATTTATAGCTGGAAATTATAATTATTTCCATGTCAAAATCGAATTCGATTTTCGAAGAATCCATGTATAACGGGTGCGCCATAAATAACTGCGCTGTTAGTAATTTAAATCTTTCTCCTCTTCCTTACACTGAGTCGAACTGATTCTACTACCAAAAGATTCCCCGTTCAATTCTCGACAAAATGGCATATGAACGACAAGCCAGAACTTTGAGTGTTGTTTCAGCTGAACAAAATGTGATGTACATCAAGAACGTGAAAAATTTAACTAAAAAAAGGGGTATTTTGCCGATAATAAATCAAATTGTTTAGTCGTGTCGAACCGAATATGCAGAATTGTAGCTCTTGAAATTCTCTATTGAAATTCTCTATTGCTAAGACGAATTTCTTCCCTTTATTTGCGCTTACAATCCTGGTTTCCGTAAAAGCTGTATCATTGCTTTTTCGAGTTACGTGTTAGGGCTATGCGCAGATTGATCATATTTCGGACAAAAGTAAACCAGTTAAGCTCGCTCAGGTGTCATTTGGACAAGAACATTTTTTCCTACTAAATTCACATGTAAACAGTATGAAATAATTTTGTTTTGAAAAAACCGAGATCATCACATTAACATTTCGCTGATGTATTACGGCAAGTAATTATTTAGCTATTTTTACCGGAGTGACGCAAGAAGGAGAAATGAATTCTGTTCTGTCAGATAGAGAACATCTGAATGTGTAGAGAAGCAACTTAGGATACGGTTTGTATCTCTCTTTTAGCATAGATTTCAAATTAAAAAAACTTAGTAGACATCGAGTACATTTTTCTCGTTTTCGAGGTACATCACATTTTGTTCAGCTGAAACAACACTCAAAGTTCTGGCTTGTCGTTCATATGCCATTTTGTCGAGAATTGA